GAGAGAGAGAGAGAGAGAGAGAGAGAGAGAGAGAGAGAGAGAGAGAGAGAGCGAGAGCGAGAGAGAGAGCGAGAGAGAGAGCGAGAGAGAGAGCTTATGATAATTATGCACTATAGTGCGTCCACGGCAACATCTGCACACTACAGTGTGCACCGAAATTCCCACATCCTATTAGAGCATTTAGATGAGAAACTAGGAAAATGTTACAGTTAAAAGGCACACGAGAGCAACGCCCGCGCACGTCAATATATTTATATACACGCGTCGAGAATCAAATTGAATCGGCGCTGCGACTTCGCCAGCGAACAGATCGATGCGTAATGAATTTACATCTTAACGAATATTTCATCTATCAAATATTAAAATCTCAGATTGCGCGGAGATATGTACGTGATAATAAGCCTATCAAATAATAGCGAGTCGGCAGCGAGAGCGCGCATGGCGAGCTATATTGTCGAGGACTCGTACGCAAAATTAATATGCCATTACTGCAGTATAAACACGGCGGCTTTCGGATTACAATTATACATCGATCACGTAAAAGGCTTCGCCCTCGAGTGTTTCTTCAGCCCCCTTCAAATATTTACCCCCGTTTTTCATTAAAACGCTCGTCCTTTCCTGCGCGTGCCACGACTACAACTAGACGTGGCACTCTAGATTAACGACGACAAGCGGTGTGTGGGGGGAAGATGACTACAATCGCCGTCGACGCCGTGCGCCATAATCAGAGGCTGAGAGCACGCGCAGACTGAGACACGCAAGAATCACGATCAGAGGCTTGAGACACGCAGACTGAGACCAGACGCAAGCTTGAGACTACACGCATGCTTGAGATCACACGCAGGCTAGGCTGAGAACGCGAGAATCAGAGGCTGATACCTCACGCAGGCTTGAGACCACAGGCAGGCTTGAGACCACACGCAGGCTTGAGACCATACGCAGGCTTGAGACCGCACTAGTTGAGACACACGTCTCGCGCCGAGACGCCTGAGCGAAGAGCGCGGACACGGATTTTTTGGAGAGTGAGATCGTGCATGGGGCGCAACAGCCCCGCACCGAAAAATACGCGCTGCTCCGAGCTTTTTGAGCTTTTGAGCTTTCCCCGCCTCTGCTTGAGACCGCATCTATCGAAGCACACAACATCTCTCGCCCTAACGGGTAGACGAAGAGCGCAGACACGGGGCATGCGTGGGCAAATATATATATATATATATATATATATATATACACCGAAAAATAGGCAGCGAAAAATACGCGCTGCTCCGCGCACGGAGCCGTATAGCGTCCACGTTATCCTGATGATACGTCATTTCTCCGGATCGCACGCGATCTCTAACGATCGTAATCGGCGTGCCGAGTAAACGGGCGTCTCCATGTCGAACTCCGAAAAATCCAGACGCCGACGCCGACCGCGGTCAGGCGCCTCCCCCCTCCGTCGTCATGCCAGACGCCGACGTCGTCGCGCTGGAACAAACGCCGTAACGAGACCCGCGTGTCGCCGACCCCCGCACTGCGCACGAGAGCGCGCCGCCGACCGACCGACCGACCGAGCAACCGACCGAGCGATTTGCATTAGTGTTCGTTTGTTTAGCTGCGCGGTGGAGAACTCTGGCACTTGACTGCTGATCGAGAAAGCGCCGCGAGTCACAATCATGCACGAATAAATTTGAGAACGGGAAGAAAGAGAGAGAGCGAGAGAGAGAGAGAGAGAAGAAGGGGAAGGGGAGAGAGGGTGGCATTATGGAAAGCAGTGCTGGTTGGCGAATACGTAGGAGGGAGGGAGAAGGAGCAGGAGGAGATGGAGAAGGAGGAGGAGGAGCAGGAAGAGGAGGAGGAGGAGCAGCAGGAGGAGGAGAGGGAGCAGGGGGAGCGCAGGAGGGAGGGAGGGCGGAAGGAGGAGGAGGAGTTGGATAGGAGGAGAGAGCGAGGAGGTAGGAGACGGTGGCATTATGGGAAACGCAGTGCTGCTCGCGAAGACGGTAGCGAGGGCAGGAGGGAGGAGGAGCAGAGGAGGAGGAGAGGCAGAGCAGAAGAGGAGAGGAGGAGGAGCAGGGGCTAGGAGGAGAGGGAGAGAGGGAGGAGGAGCAAGCAGGAGGAGGCAGGAGGAGTGCAGAGAGAAGGGAGGAGGAGAAGCAGAGGGCAAGGAAGGGAGGAGGAGGAGAAGGAGCGCAAAGGAGAAGGAAGAGGAGAGAGGAAGAGAGGAGAGAAGGAGGAGCGGAGGAGGAGGAGGTAGAAGGAGCAAAAGGAGAAGGAGAAGAGAGAGGAAGCGGAGGAGGAGGAGGAGGAAAGGAGGTAGAGGAGGGAAGGAGAAAGAGGACGGCGGAGGAGGAGGAGGAGGAGGAGGAGGAGGAGGAGAGCAGGTTGACCCCGCATTATGGAAGAGCAGTGCTGCTCGGACGAGACGTAGAGGGAAGGGAAAAGGAAAGGAGGAGCAGGAGGAGGAAGCAGGCAGCAGGAAAGGAGGAGGAGGAGGAGCAGGAGCAGGGAAAGGAGGAGGAGGAAGAGGAGAAGGAGGAGGAGGAAGAGG